CCTGATGTAGAACACAGAAATCAAGCCTACAAATCTTAAGAGATATTTTCCTCTTGCTGTTTCTGGTCATCTGAGTCTTGGCCATTCTTTCAGGATTGGAAGTCTTCATATTTAGATAGTTATTCTGGTCTAAGCAGCGCTGGTTCCTATCTCACCAGCTATGACTCTGTGTGCTTGTGTGTGTGTAATTTTAAAAAGATTGTTTACACTAGGGAAATAGAAAAGAAGAGGGATATTATCACCTATAGTAACATTTTAATTATTTCCTGTAGCAGGAGAATGATATTACAGCCTATTTGGGCTCCAAATCAGGAAAGATTCAGCTTGAAAAACAACTTGAGAAGCAAATGCCTTTATTTTATCTTTTTGTAAAAGAAAAAACCTTTTTAGACTTACTTATTATTATCAGGGAACTGTCTTCTTGAGTCAGGACTTCACTTTAAAGTACTTTAGGGAAACCAGAAATTCTTGTGTTGTGAGTCAGTATCATCTATTTCTTTAAAGGATGTAAAAGAACATAGTTGACAAAAAACCCAGGAGAAAAGCCATGGCAAGCTAATTCTCCATCGCTGTCAGGAAAACAAGAGGTTGAACTTGGCTGGAAGGACGTTTTTCCCTTCATCAGGAGTAGGGTCTGATCTATGGAGCCGCTTGCTTCCGTGTGGCCAGCAGATAATAGGAAAGGAAGGAGATATGGAGAGAGTGAGCCAAGAGAAAGAATAAAATCATGACAAACTGAAGATCAGAAAGCGCTCTTTTAAAGCACCAGGCGTAGAAACAGAGGGCTGAATGTCACGGGTGAGTGGACATCACTCATGCAATAAGTGTTTCCTTGCTTCACTATCCTGCAGTGGGGGTGCAGCTTAAAAACCTGCTTCAGAGATTTTAGTATTTTCTTTTCTGCAAATGTGCTCCCAGCTCTTTGGCCTTATTTATGTGACATCCTTACTGGGTGTTGGAAGAATTATCCTTCTGGGTTCAGTTCCAAGTGGGAAATATACACTGGAAACATCGAGGCTGCTTGGAAAGATGGTTTAATGGTGGACAGGACCACATGGCTTGGAGCTCCAAAGTGAAAAGGATGATCACATGCTTCAAGGTGAAAAGAGAAGAGAGGGCCAAGATGCTGAGAGACCCTTATATACCCTCTCTTAGGGCCCCACCTTAGTGTTTCCTGTTCCTGTGCAAGAAATGTATCCCATTGGCTGTCAGACTCCCAGAGGCGGGGGTCTTAACTAACTTTGTAGGCTTAGTCTGGACCACATGGCTTCACCTGAGTGTTGGCTGATACAATCTTCCCAGGCCAAGTGGTGAAATGGGTAGAGGCCTTTATTATGTAAAATACTCTAACCCTAGGCTTTAACGGCCCATTAGCAAAGATGGGGCTGAGTTTCTGCCTCTCTGAGGTGAGTTTCTGCTTCTGAGTTTCTACTCTCTTTAGGGGAAATATTCTGCCTTTTTAATATTTCCCAGGACATTTCATTCTTCTAGGAGAGGGGTGGGTGCTAACTTCCCACATTGGGAAGACAGTGTTGTATAAACTCCCAAACTCTGAAAGTTTCTTACCAATTAACCCAGATGGGTTTAGATTTGTTCCCAACTGAACTGATCTTGTTTCGGCTAAGCCAGTATTTTTTAAAACCCAGACTCTTTTAAGATGTTTGAACTTCAACTCATGCTGGCAGGCAAACTCTGGAAGCTGAAGGCCACACATCTTTGGGGGGAACAAAACCCCCACTGTACCGAACAAAGGATCTCCTGGGCTAGGTCCTTGTATCAGTTGCCCCTATAGTCCCCCCAGCCTTCTTTTAAACAGAACAGCAATGCAGATTTAGCTGGGGGTGGGCGGGGGGGAAATCGACCCAGTCATCCTGGTTCCTGTAATGCCAAAGGGAGAATGTGAGTCAAGTGGGAGGGGAATCCCTGGGCTGGCTGTGTTGTGCGAAGGGGACTTTGGTGATTTTTAGGAGCCAGTTACTCCACCATTAAATAGCAAGCTGTCATTTAAACGAGAGGAGCAGTGCAAGTTGAATTATTTGTGTTTACAGACTATTGCCAAGGGTGGAATATCTTGGAAGAAAAAGTAAACCATTGGGGAAAATATCCAGAGCTTCGGCCTTGCAAAATCACCATGTTCTGTCAGGACAGGAGAATCTGGTTAAACAACTTTTGCATTTTAAAAAAGCGGCTACGTTTCTCCTTTCCCCTCTGCACATACTCTCTCTCTCTCTCTCTCTCTCAACCCCCCCCCCCACCCCAAGACTTTTGCCTTAAATAGGTCACAGCAGTTCCCTGGAGACCTTGTGTTCCTCGGTGGAATTTTCCTTGCCATTCAACTGCTCCTGAAAGGGCTGAAAATTAGGTTTGGGATTCCCCGCCCCCCCCCACTCCGCCTCTGACTGTTTCCACAAAATCTCAAATGTTTATCCAGAGGAATGGCTTGCTGCCTCTGCCCTCTCCACTTAAAAGGATGGGCTGCCCCATCAAAGGAGGCTCTATTTCTGATTTAAGCCTCCCTGACAGGTAATCCAAAGACGGCAAGACATTTCCCCCACCCACCAAGACTTCATTTGCAATGTTAATAACGATTTTGGTAGCTGTAGCAACAGTTGTGACTGGGAAGGAGAACAAGGGCCAGGGGGACGTTGTTAAAAGAGCCTCTCTGGATCCTGTTGACATGGGCCCCTGAAAATGCCGCCTGTTGCCTTGAACACAAATTGTCTGTCACTGAACAGCAATGGTTCTTTACACAGCATTGGGTTAATGATGAATCATTGTCCCAGTGCAATCTGGAATTAAGTGCATGTGGTACCAATACCCCTACAGAGCTCTTGTGCTCTTCCCTCAAGCAATGTTCTGTGCATTTAAATCTAAGAGATCTGTGCAATTTTTATATTGCTCAACATCAAAAGAAAGGGGAACAACCTTCAACTTAAAACTGCAATTTGCAGTGATGCAGCAGATAATGTTAGGCTCTGGATTTGATCCTCCTACAGAAGCCTAGGGCCTATTCGACAGCCATAGGTTTTGGTTCCATTTTGAGGCACCACAATTAACATTATTATTAATCAGGAAAATATAATAAGATCAATGGTCTGAACAGAACCTATTTTTTATTGGGTTTATTCATTCTTTTCCTAAAGTGAAGAGTTTGGTAGAATATACAGGTAGTCCTTGACTTATGACCACAACTGGGATTGGAGTGTCTATTGCTAAGTGATGTGGTTGTTAAGCGAGTACCATCCGATTTTACAAGTTTTTTTGCCATGGCCGTTAAGTGAACCACTGTGATCATTAAGTGAATTTGGCTTCATCCATTGACTTTGCTTGTTGGAAGTCCCCTGGAAAGATTGTAAACAGTAATCATGTGACCCCATTGTGTGTATGTATGTGAGTGTGTGTGTGTGTTTGTGTGTGTGTGTGTATGTATGTAAAAGAAGAAACCAGACATCCTGTGATGTCTGGAGCTTAAAATTACATTTAATGTACTTACTAAGCTTTCATCAGCCTATGACATCGTCAGAGCATTAAGCTACCATTTCAGAGATCTTTGCCTTTATATGTCATTAATCTATTTAGCCCTTGCACGCATATATATGTGTGTGTGTGTGAGAGAGAGAGAGAGAGAGAGAGAAAAGCGTGCAAATTTTGATCATGTGACTGTGGGAAGATAGCAATAGTTGTAAGTGTAAGAACCAATTGTAAGTTACATTTTTAGTAACTTTGAATAGCTGTTAATTAAATGGTTGCAAATCAAAGACTACCTTTACTCTAAATGTTTATAAGAGGAACTGGAAAACACTTGAATGTGTAATGCTATACAGTCAGGGGTGCACTGCTAGGGGTTTGGGAGAGCTCCTAGCTAAAATTCTGTGCAGTTTGGAGAACCCCCAAATCCCACTCCTGGCTGGCCTCACCCATTCCACACTGCTTCTCCCATGCGGCCCATTTTGGATGCAGGGCATGTGTGGAGGTTCAGGGAGGGTGAAAAACGGGCCTCCCGGAAGTTCGGGAAGGCCAGAAATGGGCCCATTTCCAGCTTCCAAAGAGCCTCCAGAGCCCAGGGAGGCTGTTTCCACCCTCCCGGGGGCTCAAGGAAATCCTCGAAGTCCGAGAAGGGCAAAAACACCCCCCACCGCCATGGTGCAGGAGGCTGACTAGGCCACACCCACCATGGCCACGCCCACTGAGCAACCGGGCAGAGAACACTGCTAAAATTTTTGAAGCCCACCCCTGTATACAGTATCAAAAGATTGTGATATACAATGTCTCTCTGGCATGTTTAACGAAAGACAATCCATTCTTTAAGAGACTCTTCCTTCAACATAGTATTTTCCAAATTTCTTGGGACTGTGACTTCCATAATTAATTGTTGATGTAGTCTGGAAATTCTGAGTTTGGGGACAGATGCTTGATCTCCTTTCCAGTATGTTTCATTTAGTTGGCAGCACAGCACTTCTGTTCCAGACTTTAGATGATTCTTCTAAGCATAGGATTCTTGGAAAAAGATATGGCTGTTTTAAAGTGCTACACAAAGGTGTCATGTTCATGCTCCCGTATGCTCTAAAACAGTTTTAGAGACTGCGCCAAAGCCCATATAGTCCTAGCATTTAGCACCTAGATGCTGAACTAGAACTAGAAGAAACAAATCTTGTAATTTTCTTGTAATAGAAGCTATTATTTTCATCTAGACATCTCTGCTATTGTAGTACCTGATTGATGAGTCCTGCTTTTGCTATAAACCCCCATTAAATAAATAATCTTGTGAGATTCAAATGTTTCTACTACCAGTTATGTGGGCGTGGCTTGGTGGGCATGGCAGGGGAAGGATACTGTAAAATCTCCAGTCAGAGGTGGTATCTGCAGTTTTCTGAACTACTACTTCCAGTTCTCCAGAACTGGTCAGAATCTGCTGAATACCACGTGTTTTAACTATAGATCCGCAATATAAAATACATGAATAATTTAGTGAGCAGGGTTGCTGCAAGAGCTATAAGTCTTATTGTATTTAACCAATAGAGGCCATTCGACATCAACCAACAGGATTCATGAATGTTCCTGATCATTTTGTTTATGCTCATGTTATTTAAAGAAAAGCTGTAAGATCACAAATGTCAGAGTCAAGCTTGAAAAAATTACAACTGGTAAACTAAAAGCTGAAAACTATGCAGAAGTTGCTTCAGATCAAGAAAATAATGATATCAGTTCAAAAACATGGACTTTTTCTTCTTCTCTGGATTTCAGTATTCTGTTTTTCTGGTTGCTTCTGGCAACTGCTGACGTGACTCACAGGGTAAAACTGGATAAAGCCATTTCAGCTTCATTGTGAAATGTATCTTTCCTCACTTTTATTGCTTGCAGGGCTGGGTTTATTCCTTCCCAATTACTACAGGGCTGCTCCTTTGGATCCGTTTCTGAAATTGTGAGCAAATAAAACCAGTTCAATGACTATCACATGCTTGGCTGAAATACTTTTAAGAACTAATGAACAAAACCCCTATTCAATTAATTAGGTAATACATTTCTAGAATCAAATACTATATTCTTTGCACATTTTTAAAAAAATCACAATTTGAGACAGTAGCACAGAGTTTATTTTCCGATTCCAGCTAATTTGGGCTGCCTGAAAAGTTGCTCCTTATCTTTCTTCTGCTTTTTATTGATGAATCATTCAACAGTCTGATCAACTATTTCAGAGGCTTCTAGGCCGCAAATTACCTGGCAGGGAATTTGCTTGGAAGACTAATTTAAATCGACTAGACTTTAAATGACTCACATTTTCCCTATCTTGTTGGCTGTCTTCTCCAAAGCAATGAGAACCTCCTCCTCAATGATAAAAGGAGACATTTAATTCCATGGGGTGAGGGCTCTCAACTTCCTTTGAATGTATTAAAAAACATTCTGGGGTAGGATCATTCCCGGTGTAGTAGGAAAAAGTTCTGCCTTTGTCAGCAATCCAACAGTGCATTTTATGGAAAGTGGGGGACAGAATAAGGATATTGCCGATTTCTCTTGGTTGGCAAGAGAATGAGCTGTTCCTCTGTCCATGAGCCAACCTTGAGTGGGTGTGGGCTGGTATGTCTCTGTTGAAATTAATGCAACACTGCTGATTTGTATCTGCTGAATCTAGGCATATTCTGCACGTATGTCTTAGAGAATACAGGAGGACAGGCAAACAGCCCTCTCAGCTAATCTATCCAATCTCTGCATTACAGATTTTCTAAAGGCAAAAGTATTTACTGAGTTTGAACAGAGCCAGGAGAGCTTAAAACAAACTGATATTGGAATCTTTCATCAAACTCTTCTGGAATAATAGTCAATATTGTATTATACAAATAGTGGCCAATCTCTTCCCGATCTTCTCTTCATGTGGGAAGTCACGTCATACGTCCTTGATCATTGGGGTAAGTTCTATTAGTCACTCACAACTGGCCATAATATTATGTGTGCTAAAATTCCCTTTATGAATTCCCTTTCCCTGTTTAGAAGAGAGTTTAAAGTACAGAACGGGGTTTGCTGCTAATAATGGCATTGCCAGGTGACACAGACCTCAGCAAACTTACTCATTTTGGATTTCTCCACCTGATCAAACTGAACAAGCAAAGTTTTTCAAAGGATCCTACAGGGCAACATGTACTTAGGTGAATCAACTGCCATTGTTTAGGAACAAAGCCTTGAGGTTTGTCAATAAAGCAAGTAAAGTTGCAGTTTAAAGAGAAGGGGAAGGGTTTGAAAGAGACTATGAGCCGGCTAGCTGATGCAGGGTGGAAAGTCAGCTGGAAAGCTGAGAGAGGAAAAATCGGAAAACAAAAGGCAGAGAACCAATATGTGATCCTTTTTAAAAAAAATCCAAGAAAAACATTTATTTTATTTGCTTGCAGTCAATAAAACAATAGTTTCCGTACAAGATGAAACAGATACACTATTTGCAAGATATCAAGAATCTAGCCTGAAGTCTTTTCCAAGAATCAGGAATGATGTTTAGAGATACTTTCAGACCATAGATAAAAAAAAATGTTTCAAATCTTATTTGAGCCAGTTTGGCTAAAGGCACCAGACTAGAAACTAGGAGACCAGGAGTTCTAGCCCCACCTTAACCATGAGAAAGCCAGCTAGGCGACCCTGGGACAGTCATTTTCTCACAGTTCATCTCACAAGGTTGTTGTGGGGAAAATAGGAGGAAGGAGTATTAGATATATTCGCTGCCTTGAGTTATTTATTAAAAAAACAATAGACATGGGATATAAATAAACAAATAATAGGAACAGCTCATACAGAGTCAACTTGCACTTCCAATAATGAGAGTGTACAATTTTCTTTCAGATCCCAGATTGAACCGAGAGATGGACAAAATGAACTCCATTTCTGCAGTGGGACTTCCCTTCTTCCAACCTCTCATGACTAAATCCTTGAGAGCTTGGAAGATTCATGGGGAATGAGGGAAGGAAAAGAAAGTTTGTCTTCCCCATTTCCCAAGCATGGCAGGTGAGCTGGAGAAAATGGAGGCCATACTGCCGGTGGATTTATAGGTTTGGGGTTTATTTGGTTGGGAAATGCAGTTTATATAAACTGCATGTATAATGTTAAACTTTATCTGCTGTCCAGAATTTCATTTATGAGATTGGCAACCATGCACATTGAATTAAATAGATAAATACCAAATTGAATTGGCTTCTGGGCATCAAAATGATTTTCTAATTTCTCAGGACAATATATAGTTACGCTACTCTGGCTGACATATTGGGAATGACTCAAAGTCTCACCATAGAATTGTTAGGATGAAATGAAGGGAGATTCCCTTGCCTACCAACCTAAATTCCAAGCATCAAGATGGGTTAAAAATATAATAATAAATAAAACTCAGAAATGAAGTGATGATAAGCTGCCTGAGAACGCCAAGAGAAATCATCAAAACAGCAAAAGTTAGAATATTTTGGACATGCGAAAGTTAGAATATTTTGGACATGGGATGCGATACCCAGAAAAATACGGCATACTTCACTTAATCCTCCAAGGAAAGATTGAAGGCAAACAAGGTCCAGGCAGAAGAAGAACATCATGGCTTCAAAATCTAAGTGACCGGTTTGGACAAAACTCAACAGCACTTTTTTTGTGCAGCTGTTGATAAAAATAGGATCACCAACATGATTGCCAACGTCCGATGACGGATATGGCATAATAAGAATTCTAGTGCAAGCTTTTGATAAAAAAAATATCGTTGATGGTACAACTATAAACAAAGGTTTATCTCAAGTACCTTTATTAGAATTTAAGACATCGTAAGACTTTTCAGTATTCAGGCAGACTCTTTGATCAAACTAAGCAACCCATGTGGGATCTACGCAATAGAGCTAGGTCTCAGCTTTGCCCAGCTTGGAGTCTTCCAGCTGTAGCAGAACTGCAACTCTCGATCCTAGCTTGGCACTGACAGCGTAGGGATATTTAAAACAGTTAGTCCCTTTTAATAATTTAACCAATTACAGTCAAAAGACGAATAGAGGTAGATGCAAGCATTTTGTATTGACTCATCAGTACCTACATTACAATATTATGGTTAAAATCAGCCTCAAATATAAGATATAGCAAGAGCATTAATTAATTAAGCCTAGGCAGGAAAGCAACCAATGGCAAAACTTTGTAGGAATAGTTTCTACAAATCAAGAGACACAATGATATTTTTCAGTTTCACTATTGAAATTCACAGGATTAGTATAGCACTAACTTATTTTGAACATTTATAGGTTTATTGGAATTAAGGGATAGGATGAGGGAATTTCCTTGCCTGTATAACTACTAATGGATTTAGTATAGCCGTGAAGCAGAAGTGCAGGTTTTCAATCAAACCACAAGGCAACCAATGTTGATAATCAGCTCAATATTCAGTCATCCTGCATGCGCCCAATTCTAGCTAGCCAAAGTGTTAAACAGAGAAAAGTTTAATACTGATAGCAAGAGATGGTTTGACTACTAAAATTACACTGAAATCTGGTTTTATCTTTCTTGACATCATAAATTTTACTGCTTTTAAAATAATAAAAGAAAAAATGCAAAAGGAAAAAAAAATCCAAAAATACATATATTATAAAAGTGCTTTAAAAAGTACGTAAAAACAATACAGCAGAAAAAAAGTGTAATATGTTGTTACAATTATAAACAGTTACAATTCTATATATAATAATTATATATAATTCAAACATTATTCATATAGCATGATAATATAGCATCATTCAAAAGCATATAATTATATATTCTATCTACATATGCATAAATACTTATATGATTAACATGCTTTTTAAAAACCTATTGTATTTTGTATAAATAATTTATATTTTCAATGTTGCAATATCTGTCTTTTAGCTGTTAGAAGGGCACAGAGAACCCATTTCTGTTGTCCGCTTGTCAAATTCCATGTACCAGGCATGTAGATCAAGAGAATATTATTCTCTGAAAATTTTAGTTTTTGTTGCACATTTGTCACATTTATATAGTTCCTGTAACTCTAGGTAATGGGAGACCCTCTTAATTTCTGTATCTAGAATGTCAATGGATCTTAACCCACAACTAAAAATAATAAATATTGGACTTAGGTTTGTGTAGAAAAGGATTGTCTACGACAGCATCTTGTTGGAGATATAATAAGGGCAATGCTTCTTTAAATGCCACAAGCTCCACCCCTTTTATACATGCTTTGTGTCATCTCACTCACCTATCTGTAGCACTGTAGCCTTAATCATTTTAATGAAGGCATGGTTTCCTGATTATGCCTCTGAGTGGCACTCTGTTAACCATTTGACCTTTCATTGGCTTTTGATGCTCTTGGCTATAGTATCCTCCTAGAGATTGGTTTTTTTTAGTTCAGATTGGACAGCATTAGAGTGGTTGAGGGGTGCCATTGCCCCTTGCATCTAAATGAAGTTTTTAAAGTTTGGGAACTGGGTGTCATCAGTAACAGAGGTGGTATTCAGCAGGTTCTGACCAGTTCTGGAGAACTGGTAGTGGAAACTTTGAGTAGTTCAGAGAACTGGCAAATACCACCTCTGACTGGCTCTGCCTCCATCTATTCTCTGCCTCCCGAGTCCCAGCTGATCGGCTGGGCCTTCTTTTGTTGCCCTGCACAGGAGAATGGAGCTGGAAAGCAGGTTAGTGGGGTGGCGTGGGGTGGGAATGGAGATTTTACAGTATCCTTCCCCTGCCATGTCCACCAAGCCATGCCTACAGAACCAGTAGTAAAAATTTTCGAATCCCACCACTGATCAGTAAGTACACTGACGATATTCAGCTCAAGTTCTTGACAACTGAATATGAAGAGACTATGCATATTCTGAACCACTGTCTGGATGCCATGATGGAGTAGTCAAGGCTGAATTAATAAACCTAAATCCTGACAAGATGGGTAGGTAGTTTCCACAAATGG